CTGCTCCAGCCGATCCCTTCACTTCACTCTCCTCGCCCCCCACCACCTTTCATCTCCTTCCTCGGATTTCCTCGCTTGAGGATGGCATAATACCGCCCCCCCCACCTCCAGCGGTCTCCCGGAAGATGGCCAACAGGTCGCTCACAGATTGTACCTCGTTGCGACTCTCATACCAGCTGCTATGTGACTGATTGAAACACCGTCCATCAAAGGGTCAACATGTTCCTGTACGCATGCAAGATGACAAAGCAGACTCGGAGAGGACTTCACAGCAAACTGGACTGAACGATGCACAAGAGAAGCTAATAATTCAAGTGAAATTTAGTTAAAGTCTTAAAGACTTAAAACGCCTGCCTCTGTCGCACAAATCAAGGATCCCAACCGAGAATGAACACAACGTTGAACAACCTCAAAACATAGCTCCGACAAGCTTGCGGGCGGAGTCTTCCTCCAGCTTCATCCACCATGATCCTCAGAACATAGCTCCAACAAGCTCACGGAGTCTTCCTCCTCCCTACAACTTCATCCACCATGGCCTTGCAGTGGCTATGACGCTCACTCTCATATGAAGCGCCCCACCTGCAGACCTCCGGCGCCCCTTGCAGACATCCGAACACCAAGTGCTCCTCAGAGACCCATCAGGATGATCAGCGCCAACTCCAGGATGAAGAGAAGGAAGCTCCAGCTTGAAGAAGAAGAAGATCGGCTGCCACGTAGAAAAGGATATGGCAGCGCCTAACCCCAACAACACAGAAATGGTGGCGCCGGGCTCCAGCATCTATGGAAGCACAAGCTTCAGTGCAGCAGTGAATGCCTCGCGGCGGCCTCCCAGCCGTGTCGCTGTTCTGGCAGCATGGCGGCGTCAATGAGACTTCCAAACAGCAGGTTGCCCACTCAACGGACCGACTCTATTCATACTTCTAGACTAACCTACTGGACTGGATCTCCATGACCCAGGGTAGTGGTACTGGTCTGAGGCAAAACAAACCAACAGTCCGTTTAGGCCTGAAACGAAGTTTAGGCCAGTAGTACCGTATTTAGGCAGCAGTTTAGGGAATTTACGGAAATATCCTTGTCAGTTTAGGCTTGTTTTTTCAGTTACCGGTTTAGGACCCAGAACTGGAAAAAATCACAAAAACAACCCTGTTAGCGTTACAGCCCGCTGAGAAACTGCACGAACATTGCAGTTCTGTGTCTAGTCACGCGATTGTGTGTGCCCAAGGTAGACGAAGCTTGCGTCCTGTTTGTGGCTGTCTTCTCCTGGACAAGCAGTCGACGGGGGCTTAAACTTTGCCCGAAGCCCATAGTTTTTTCTCTTCCCTTGCAAGGTTGTCATGGTGTTTCCCTATCCGTCAGACCGCTACCGAAACATCCAACTTGCTTGTCATACTTCCAAACTGATAGGCTTCCTAACTGAAAACGCTCGGTACCTCAGAGCCTCATCTTCGGAGCTGTACCTACATCCTCTCTGACTCGACCTCTCTGCAGCGTAGCTGCGAAGTTGTACTCCTCCCATTCCCCAAAAGCGGCAGGGGCCCATTCATTATCGTGCATGGAAGAGCATCTGCACTCCTGAACGGTCGGTCATACTCGCTCTCCGCAGAAGCAGGGTCAATTTCATAGTTCAGCTCAGAAGATGGGCCTTTTCCCAAGGTTTCCGTACGCAAAAGAAACAAGGCAATGGTCTGAAAAAATGCTGCACTCTTTGAAACTGCAGTCCTCGAAACTGCAACTCCTCTAAACCTCTGCCAAACCTGTTCCCGAAAGTAGCCCGACCCTCCTTATGGGCTTCCTCATGGCCAGCCAAAGGATTGGACTTGGCCAAGCCCGAGGTGGTGGTGATCAAAAGAAAGAGCTGCAAGGATTTGCAATGACTTTGGGTTATGGTCGCCGAAAATATCACCAGACATAGCAGTCCAAGCCTTAGTACAACCAAGGCAACACTGACGCTAAGACTTCTTTTTTTTTCCCTTACCCTTCTTCTTTCTTAAGGGCAACAGCCCCCTTTAGATTCATCATTGTGAGCGGACTGGCCCCAGGCAATTCAAGGAATGACTATCTGATTATTGTATTTCAACGGTTCAGGGATTTACCCTGCCTGGGCCCTGGTGTATGGTACGTGCCGTTCCAGGTACATGACAAGTAGGTGATGGCACACCAACACAAATACCCGTTGGCGGCCTATTAAACCACCAGTACTTGGCGCAGCTATAGGCCGCGGGCATGTCCCGTTAACACGCCGCATTTGGGGGGGGGGGGGTCGTTCACATGAATGGCCGGTCGGTGAGAATTGCGATGTAGAAAACTAGAACCAAAAAAAAAACAAAAAAAAACAGGGGGCTAAGTCCAGGAGCCGGGACCCACTAGCATCGAGTAAATCGGTGTGTGGCATTCTTTTCTCATTTAAAAATGCATAAAAAATGCTTTTCATCATTTACACGAATGCAAAGAAAAGGACCCAAAAAACGAAAAATTATGGGGCCTGACATAGACATCATGACAGAACTTCAGTGCATCCACACTTCCACCAACCCGGTACATCTGCATGCGACCTTCCCGCCGGCCTGTTCGCAGTCTTCCACGGAAATCTCAATATTCTCTATTTTACCACATAAAAAAAAGAAAACAACATCGATGCAAAAACGCCCCCCCCCCCCCCCCCCGACCTCCCTAATATTGCAGCTTCGCGCCAACGCAAAGTGGCTAGCTAAACTCTTCTATTGGCCGGCGGACAGATTCCCTACCGAATTCGGTCCTTATCGCCCTGCGCCGACGGTACACAAAAGGATCAACGGTTGCCGGATGTCACCTCTCGCCGCACGTGGTTGAAAACCATGGAGCCGAAGCGTAAATCTATATGCTAGTGGGTCCCGGCTCCAGGGATGTTGTATGCTGGCCTAGACTTCACGTCGGTTGCTAGTTGTTGTTGGCTTTGGTCGCTCTGATGATCTCCCCCAGCACAGACATTACACATATTTAAAAAAAAAAAAAAACTACTTTCGTGTTCACATAGGTTCTTGGTGGAATGTTTCTAACTAGTATTTCAGTTGCATTCTGGATGTCATTTGTTTCTGCTTTTGTCTTTTTTGTCCCCGTTTTTCTTAGATTGCAGGGCATATCCTGCGATCTACTGAACAGCCCTCTTTGGCCACATACTCACACTTGCACACAGACAAATGTATCTAGCTCGTTTCAGGGTCCTGTTTCTTTTTCTTTTTCCTTCTTTGAGATTCATTTTTTTGTTTGGGTTTTCCTTTTTTTTTACTTTTGGATTCTGACAAAAAACACTCCACAGGGCTGATACACCCAAACTGCAACGTGCTCACACTAGCACTGGGAGGAATGCATCCAACTGCATTCACGTCCGCACCGTTGTTGTTGTTGTTGTTGTTATTGTTTTTTTTTCTTTTTCTTTTTTTTGCTGTTTTTGTTTTCCAACTGGTCCCCCCAGCCTCGGCCCATCCACCTACTGGTACTGCCAGCCTTCGCAGGCTTGACATACCGGTCGCTGGAGGCTCGGACTTGATATCTGGGCCAAGTACTGGCTGGCGGTTTAAACCACCTGTACTTTTGACCCTTGCCTTGCCGAGCCTGGAAATGCCCTGCACCCCAAAAGGGAAAAACGCATGGCAACCTCGGGACCCGGACCCGGACATGTCTGGACCGAGGCCCAGACATTTGTCTGGACTGGTCCAGACGTCCGGTAAACCGGACAGGCACCAGACAACCGGACAGGACCGGACCCAGACCGTCCGGACTGGTGCACCAGACAAAAAAAAAGTCCGGACCGAAAGGGGAAAAAAAACACAAAAAACAAACAAACCATTAGTAAGTAATAAGCAGTGCCAAGTAGTACCAACCACAGCGTACTGTCTTTCACTATTCACAACTTGACAGCTCAATAGAGTCAATACTGTCACAGACATCCACAAAGGCTCACACAACACTTGAAACCAGTTCTCGACAGACCAATCCCAAGTTACTTCAGAAAAGAGGTATGAAAATCAGGAGAAAACAGAACTTCGAACTTTGAAGTGACTTTCTAATACTTCGGCTCAGGCTGGGCACTACAGGCAATTTTGTTACGGTAGGCCGGCCCAGGCCCGGCACTACCAGCAAATTTGCGACGGTAGGCCGACCCCCAAAACTTGTGGCTGCATGCACACCGAGATGGAGAAAGAATGGCTGGCAAACATACTGGTTGTTTTAAATTTGCCAGTACTTTGGCTGGCTATTGACAACGGGAAATGAATGTGGGCGCTCCTGTAGTGGCCCGTACATCTCCTAAAATCATGGCTTTAGGGCGTGTACTGGTGGTTCAAGTCCACACACCGGTGTGTGTAACTATTATCATCCACAAAAATATTCCATTCGGGCTGCAAAAAAACACCGTAGCAGACCAACGACCCTAGCTCAATTGGTACACCCTCAAACTCCCCCCCCCCTTCACTCGGGCCTCCCAACGATAATGGGGAGGAGCGTGGGGTGAGTCACCCTTGTACTACTTGTCATTGACTTGCCGGGGGAATAGGAACCGGACTGTTGCTCCCCAGAATGGTAGGAGGCAGAACCAAGAGGTTCTGACAAAAAAAGAAAAAAAAAAAAGAAGTGTAGCCCAG